GCTATTAACCACTGAGCCAGCTCTCCAGCTTCCAATGTATCAAATCCTTGAAAGTGTCTAAGAAAGTACAGTTATCACCACTAAGAGTTCATAAATACTGAAGTAATACATAAATTAAGTAGTTTGATTTAGCTGTTCACATTATATAGATATTTTAAAACATTGGGTCATATAAGAAATATAAAGTTTTAAATTATCATTTAAAAATAAATAATTATTTTCCCCTATAGCTTCTAATTATTTAGATCTTAATGACTAGAATTTAATTGTGGGCCATTTTATTCCCTCATGATGTATACAATTCCATATATTAATTTTTCATGGTATTATTGTATTTCTTTGTATTAATGCTAGAGGAGATTAACTGGACAAAAACTAGTGTGATAAATGATTCATTTTAAAATATTCTTGTGGATAATGCATCTCATTGTGAAGCTAGGTTAGACATATGAAAGTAGAAAAAGAAATAGTCATGCAGGATGGTGCATGCCTTTAATCCCAGTACTAAGGAGGCAGAGGCAGGTGGATCTCTATGAGATAGAGGCCCGACGGCTCTACATAGTGAGTTCCCGGTCAGCTGGGGCTACAGGGAGACCTGGTCTTCCTGCGCTTAAAAAAAAAAAAAAAAGGAAAGGAAGAAGGAAGGAAGGAAGGAAGGAAGGGAGGGAGGGAGGAAGGAAGGAAGGAGGGAGGGAAGGAAGGGAAAAATTGGCATGTTAGGGTTGTGACTCTTGTTTAAATTTTTTTTATTAAATTCTTGTATTTCATACAGAATATCTCAATCAGTGACTAGACCTCAGTAGATGAACTTGCACTGAGGAATGTCTGGGGACACTAACTTGACACACAGACCTTAACACAAATGACAGAAAGTAAGAATTCCAGCAAGGTGAGACGGCTATGGAAGATGCCAGTGGGGAAGGGGGTATAAAGATCACTAAGGCTTGTGACTTCTTAAAGGAAAGGATCATGTCCAAACTGGCATTTTTCACAGAATAATCATAATGCTGGATTCATAACTAGCTCCCTAAGCCCTATTGGTCACAAACAGAAGAAAAAAAGAGATATGGATCCAAAAAAAAACAAAAAAAAAACAAAAAACATGTTATTAGAAGCAAACTTCTTTTTGTTAAATTATATATGTGTATATAGAGACACATATGTTTGTATGTATGCACTGTGTGTGTTTGTGTGTGGTATGCACATGCACTCGTGGACGTTCTGGCTCATGTACACATATGTGGAGGCCAGGGCAAGACATCGCCATCTTCCTCTATCACTCTCTGCCTTATTGCCTTGAGACAGGGTCCCTCACTGAACCCAAAGCTTACCATTTATGCTAGGTGGACTTGCCAGCAAGTTCTTAGGAGCCACCTGTCTCTATCCCCAACATTAGGGCCACAACATGTGCAGTCATGCCCCATATTTTATGTGGGTACTGAGGATCTGAACTCAGGTCCTCATGTTTGCAGAGCAAGTGCTCTTACCTACTGAGCCATCTCCCCACCCCAGACATAAATGTTTTTATGACAGCGTTACATACTGCTCTTTTGCTCTTTAGGAAAAATCAACCCACTTTCTATTACCTTCACCCATCAATGTATTTGCTCATCTGTTTTTTGGCCCAACAACTTTGTGCTAAATCATCTTTATATCTCTAAGAACTGATGAACAACAAGCATTCAGAACCATTAATTCACATATAAGACCTTAAATTTTCTATGCCAATTTCCTTGCTAGAATTAGGATCCCTTAATAAAAGATTCTGCCTGGAAAGAAGTCATTTACACAGCTGTTATCCCTCCCAATCATCTTTGTATTCATTGTTTTCTTCCAAAGAAGCCAGTTGCAAGAATTTTAGATTACTACATTATTAGTGAGTGATTAGCCTTTTAGTGTTGTAACACAAACCATTTATTGGCCATGTTGCATAATTTTGTCCTAAAGTTATTAAAATGCCTTTGAAATTAACATCAGAATAGTTTAATGGGTTTGTAAAAATGTACTCAAATTAATGTGCTTTAATAACATGTAAAAATGTTGAAAGTTTTCCAAAATTAGGGCAGTCTACATAAACTGAAAGCCTTTCATATAAGCACCCATAGAAATACTGAATAAAAGCAAACAGTACTTTAAAATATGTAACTAGGGCTGGAGAAATGGCTCAGCAGTTAAGAACACTGTTCTTGCAGAAGACCTGGGTTCAAATCCCAGCACCCACATGGCAGCTAACAACTATCCATAACTCCAGTTCCTGGGGATCCGACAGTCTCTTCTGTTCTCCTCAGGCATTGCACAACACGGGTGCACTTACCTACATGCAGGAATAACTCTCATATATATAAAATTAAAAAATAATAATAACAAAATAATTTAAAAATATATAACAATGCTGTCAAAACAGTGACAGAAGTCTCCAGAAGGAAACTGAACATGAGTAAGGACGACTGAGACTTCAGCTTTCTAAGAGGGTCTTAGATCAACTACAGCAACCTCAGTGACCAAAGACTTGGAAGTTAACTGAGCAAGAATCCATGCTGATATGGCATATAAGGAACTGGGCTTGCAAAATGGTAAGAAAATGAACTTGTAGACACACAGGAGCAAAGGTAGGTTAAAACTGTGTTCCCAGCACAGATAGCTAACAAGGAATATTTCATTTCAACCAGAGCTCGGTCTGAAAGTAGTTCACAAGAAAAACACTTTTTCAGTCAGTTTATAACCATGAGCCTTTCTCCTGTTTTCAGACTCCGTTTCTACCATCTCTATAATCTAGGAGCTAGAGACCAATATTAGTATAGATACTGGCCTTAGACTAGTGACAATTATAGGGGTATCTCAGATCGAATAGTCGGTTTCCCATCATGAAATCCTGGCAAGATAAGTTCACAGTCTAAAATTATGAAACACACATGGAAACAATCTGTTCTCAAAAAGAGTCATTAGGAATCCCATCTCCAATACTAGAGCAATAAACTATAAAATAAGTATATTTAAATAATTAAAGTAGTATAAAATAAGCAAATAAGAATGAGGGAAATGTCAGTTACTATTAAGTTTGAGAGTAAATTATTAAAAAGAAAAAAGTGTGGTCATAAAAAATAAACATCTAGTCAATAGAGTTTTAAAATTATTAAGTACACTAAGGAGCATATGGTTATGTAGTGATGGAAAGAGATTTGGTACATTAGTAAACTGTACTTCAGAAACCCTCCTAAAAAGGTATTGAAATTTTTTTTCAAAAACCAGAGAAATGGGGGCTGTTGATATGGCCAGTGGATAAAAAGATGCTGCCCAGGTCTGATGACCTCATTTCTATCCCCAGAACCCAAGTAGAAGTGGAAAGAGAGAGTTGACTCCACAAAGTTGCCCTCTGACCTCCACATGCACATTGTAGCACATATACTCCACTTCACCCCCACAAAATAATAATAATGATTTTTTAAAATAGCTGAAAGGTTAGACTTTATACCAAATAAACTGTCATTCAAACATAAGGTTAAAATGAAGGGCTAATTAAAATAAATTAGAGAATTTGCGATTCACATGCTTTTGAATGAATTAACTGAGCTACTTGGAGAGTATTTTTATTTTTAATTAACATATATTATCTGTAAAAATTATAGGTTTCATTGTTATACTTTCTTTTTTATTTAAAAATTTTATTTCAGGGCTGGAGAGATGATTCACATACTGGTCTTCCCATAGGCCCCAAGTTGAGGTCCCAGTTCCCATGTTGGATGGCTCACAACTGCTTCTAATTCCAGTTCCAGGGAATCCAAAGGCCTCTTCTGGCCTCCACAGACACTGACACACATGTGTAGATACACACACATATATCCACACATACACATAAACAAAAATAAAATAATTTGTAGAAATTTATTTTTTATTTTATGTATGTATGTTGGTGTCAGTGTATGGCATAAGTGCGGGTACCTGTAGAGGTCAGGAGAAGGTGTCAGATACCCCTGGAACTGGAGTTACAGGCAGTTGTGAGCCACCTGATATGGTTGCTGGAAACCAAACTAGGGTTCTCTGAAAAAGCAGCAAGCACTCCTAACCTCAGCCATCTCTCCAGTCCCACTGACACATTTTCATAATGGCATATTTTGTACCCTGATCATGTTCACCTTCCCTCTCCTTCATCCTGTCTCTCTATAAGGAAGATAATGCTAATTTTAGAAAGGAATAGATGGAAGAAGCAAGAACTTTTTACATATTTGTAAATCTTAAAAAAGGAGATTCAGGGCTAGTGAGATGGCTCACTAACCAACTAGTGAGTGGATAAAGGTACCTGCTGCTAAACCTGACTACCTGTGTTCAATCCTCAAGGCCCACGTGGTGGAAGGAGCAAATCAAATCCTGCAAGTCCTCTTCCAACCTCCACACATGTGCCATGACATGCACATACCCTCACACATACATAGATACAAAGCACAATGAATAAATGTAATTTTCAAAGTATTTCATTTATTTACTTTTGTTTTATGTGTATGAGTGTATTGTCTGCATGTGTATAAGTGCACCCGTGTCGTGTGAAACCCACACAGACAGAAGAGGGCATTGCACTTTTAAAAATTACATTTCTTCAGAGGCTGGAGAGATAGCTCAATGTTTAAGAACACTGGCTGCTCTTGCAGAGGATGCGGGTTCAATTCCCAACATCCAGATGGTGGCTAACAACCATCTGTAACTCCAGTTCCAGAGGATCTGAAATCCTCTTAAAATATAGGAAATATTAGCAAGGTAAGAGGTAAATCAAGAGTTAAATTACTCTTCAGTAATGAGAACTGAGATATTCCTTAGTGCCCTCTTTGCCCCTTGTTTCTGTGTTCCATGAGCCTTAAGTGTAGAGGTCGCATTGTAGATGCGTCACTTAGACTTGGGCAATTCAGACAGTGTCTGTGTGTGACCAGTTGTGGCACTCTATAATAGTCTCCATCTTTTGTAAAAAAAAAAAAAAAAAAGCTTCTTTGGCCCGCAAAACATCGGCCAGGATGCTAATGCCTACCAGAGGGGGGATCCTTCTGGAGGGGGCTGTGGCGGACTGGCGCCAGAGCGGCGCGGAGACATCAAGTGCAGCTCGGACACCTGGCCCATTTACATTTCACTCTTTCTTTTACCTGCATCCAGTTATCTTCAGAATGGCGAAGACAAACAACTCTGCTGGGAAGGAGCTTCAGCCCAGGCCAAGATCAGAGCTTTGGCATGAAGGTCCTCAATACTTCTCCCGGGGAATCTAACCTCCTCTTCTTTCCAAGACTCTGCAAGGGACTCTCTCGTTTGGCGCTTATGATAGTTTGCTGTGCTTTCTCTCCCCTGTTGGGCCACACTCCCTGGGGCAGCGCTGGGCTGCAGGGCTCATGTCTGGTATGGTGGAAGCTCTAGCGCTCAGCCCCTTTGAAAGAGTGCAAAATGTGTTTCAGGATGCTGGCAAGCAAGCTCGCTTCCCCAGCACCTTTAGCATTCTCAAGGCATTCAACTCTTATGGCTTTGGGGGGCGGCTGTCACTGGGCTGTTATCGTGGTTTCTGGCCTGTCCTTGTCAGAAACAGCTGGGGGAGCGCTCTCTATTTCTCCTTTAAGGATCCTATCCAGGATGGCTTGGCAAAGCAAGGCCTGCCCCACTGGATTCCTCCTTTGGTGTCTGGCAGTGTCAGTGGAACAATCACCTGTCTAGTTCTGTATCCTCTGATTGTGCTGGTTGCCAATATGCAGTCTCACATTGGTTTGCAGAGAATGCCAAGCTTGTGGGCCTCTGCCCAGGATGTGTGGGACACTCGGGGTAGAAAGGTACTCCTGATTTACAGAGGAGGTTCTCTGGTTATCCTAAGGTCCAGTGTGACATGGGGCCTCACTACTGCTATCCATGATTTCTTGCAGAGGAAGTCTCACTCCAAGAAAGAGCTGAAAGACTGAATAAACGCAGAAGTGTGTCCACTGCATCTCGGTTCTAAATCTCCCCACATTGGATGTGTATAGCTTATTTCTTTAGCTTGGTTACTAAATATAACCATTCTTTAGCATCTGGAAACTTTCACTGCACAAGAGAGGCTCCCAGACAAAACCTAACAAGATTCCTTGACCAGAGAGAGAGGAGAGAGAGAGAGAGAGAGAGAGAGAGAGAGAGAGAGAGAGAGACCCCAGTCTATATACAGCTTCAGTAGTCTCTGACCTGGGAGCCCCTAAATAGACTATATCTCAAATTAAATACTGTTCCTTCATGGTCCTCCATAAGAAGAGGAAACTTTAAAAGAAGTCCTTACTCTGGCACTATGAGTCTGGGGTCTGTCCAGGTATCCTCCTGACCAAACTGAGTGGAGCTCCAATTTCAAGGAACTATAATTTACTCTGAAGACAACTTCTGAGAAGACTACATTTTCTTGACATTGTTTACTGCCCTACCACAGGCACTCTCACTTCAAGCTGAGGGTCCTACTTTCAGGATACCTGCCATGGTTACAAATTCAAAGTTAGTCTTGCTTCAAGTCAGCAGATGCCACAAGAACTGATGATGCTGGAGTGAGGAGTGAGAAATGAAGTGGTGCATGAATAGAAAGAATAAAGGCTCTGAAGCATGAAATTTAATTACATGCCAAATAGAAAAAAAAAACAATTACTCTAGGTAGTTCAGTGTTATCTGCTAGAACATTTTTATATTAAAGACATTACATTGCCTAGAAACCATTTAAGTTTCCATAAGAAACCTGGAATAACATGACCTTATCTCTTCACTAATAAGTGATTATTTTGTTGATGTGGACAAACATAGTTATTATAGCATAAAGACTTTTTTAAGCCTGTCATTCAGAGTCATTGCCAATATAGTCCACATAAAAATTTCAGCATATTATCCCACCAGAGGAACCCCAGAGGCCAGACAAAATGAACTGTTTTTCTCTCTCTAAACATGCCACGAACTTACCTATGGCCATATTTTGGCCCACACTATTCTCTTCATTTGCAGTACTCTTACTTTTGGCCATTCTACTAAAGACTTTCACTTTCCCAAAGTCCAGCTCAGATGCCACTGTGTCTGTGGAGCCTTTTCGGCACTTCCCCCAACTGAATATGAAATAATTATTGAGATGCCCCCTCTCGCTCACCAACACTGCACTGATTTCTTGATGTCACTGATCCCACGAGGCCCTTTGTTCTTGATGTTCTTCAATACCTCCTACTTGACTGTAAACTTCTTGAAAGCAGGGATTCTTGTATGCATTTTTTAATTCTCCATTGTGCCTAGGTGCTCAATAAAGTTTGTGAATTATTGAACTAATTATCAAGCTGTGATACGGTGTATATCCTCAGGGTGCTATCCCTATTACATGAAGATAATGTTACTGATCCATTGTCAACAAGACACATGACTTTGAGGTGTGCTTGTTTTCTTTTAATAGTGGATTTAGTTTTGTGCTAATGATGATGCCAATGATGATAATACTAACAATAATAAAATTACTTCCAATTGGAAAAAAAAGCTTCTTTGATGAGTGGTGACTGGGATATTTGTCTATAAATATAAGGATATATATATTTTGCACACAGTAAGAAATTATATTAGTCTAGGGATGTAACAGTCTTGGGTTTTTTTCTAAGACCTATGACCTCTCCAGCTAAGTGTATTTGGCTATGTTTATAGCACCACACATGAGTTTCCTCCCACTGAGTGGGCTTTTACTTCAATTAGATAGTTGTTGATTGCCCCCAAGATAAAAGTGTCAGTATTGTACCAGTGTCCTATCCTGTGCTGGTCACTGGTGTGGTTATTTGGTCTTGAAGCTAGTGTTGGACCATAAATTGTTCTCCCTTAGCTCCTTGCATAATGCTCTCCAAAGCTATGAGAGCTAGCCCTCAGAGGAAGTGGCTTCCAGGTCACTTACAGCTCCATTGCTCCAAATTCTGTGTCTGAAGTATGTTCTGTCTTCAGCAATAGGGTCTTACCTTCAAGTCCTGGGAGTCAATCAAGGGCTGTATCAATAGCCTGTATAATTTTGGGAGTCTCTTGGACCACCCTGGCCAACAAATCAAAGGAAAGTGTCTCCTGTCTGGCACTGTATCTTATTATGTAGCTTTTAACTATACACATGGACTCATGTAGAGATATTGTATGTGTAATTTGTTGTTGGACTAATATGATTGCCTATGGTTTTCTACACTAGCTGGGCATTGTTTATATCTCCTCTCTCTCTGTCCCTCTAACCCTTCCATCATGACTTCCCCGACTTAATGTGTCCCCACTTTCCCCATTTCTCTTTGATAACACCAGTCTCCTATGGTCCCACCTCCCTTGAGCTACTTCTTTTCCTTTATTCCCAAGCACAAAGGTCACGAATAGCCAAAGTGTAGAGATCAAGAGTCTGCAGAATGTTGGTCCAGCCTGTGCAAATCTCAGGCTTGCTAGCTTCCATAACCCTTAAAAGAAGTCTCCTTATTTTGTTCTTCTTCTACTTGGCCATTTATTTGATGCTAAGTTATTTGATACTTACTAAATAAATTCATCTCTCTATTCAGATTTTTGTACGTTTGGTTTTTTGAGACAGGGTCTCATTTAGAACTCACCATGTAGACTAGGCTGGCCTTGATCTCACAGAGATCCACCTGCTTCTGCCTCCCAAATGCTGAGTTTAAATGCATGTGCCACCACGCTCGGCTTTTTCTTCAATTCTTAAAAGTCACTCAGTATATGTAATACACTTGAAAGAAGAGGAAATTCAACTCTTAAATCAGAATGTCAATGAATGAATCTTGGTACCATGGCTTGTGTTATTCAGTCAAGTAGTTTTATTTCATTCTGCTGTTCCACTGAACTAAAGTCTATATGGAATGAACACTAGTTGGTTTACTAGCATAACTACTTTTTTTAGTTTTTTCAATAAATTTTTGAGTAGAACAATAGTCTCAAAAGAAAGAAGTATTTTCTTCTCAGTGATTTGTGGAGGTTTCCCAGTTTGTTGACCCTCAACTAAAGTTCCAAGTCTCTTTCAAAATCCTGTTTATGAAACTCTATAGGTGTGCATTGTGCCAATAATTGGTATTGTCATTTCCCTTCTAAGGGCAAATGATGAAATGAATACCTCCCTTCATGCCAACTGAATTCAGGTACACCTGGTACTAGTCAGACTAAGTGATCCCTTTAGCACAGGATATAATATTTACATATAGAACACAATATTAAGTTTTTTATTACATTTATTGGGGGATGCATACTATATCATGTACATGGAGGCCTGAGAGACCTCTCTCTTGTGAGTTGGTTCTGTCCTTCCACTATGTGGCTCCCAGAGATTGAACTCAGGTCTTCAGGCTTGGTGACAAAATGCTGTTTCCCACTGAACCATCTCACGAGCCCAATAGCACCAGATTTGACTGATGTTTGGCAAACACAGAGTACATGCCAGCAGATACACTGCTGTTTATTATTCTTACCTTTGAAATACACACATACACGGTTAAATTTACTGCTGGGAGGTGCACTTGGCTTCCGGCTCCATCCTCCCACCATCCTTACAACAAACAACAATAATATTTCTCCAAACTACAGTTTAGGAGACAAAATGATTTATTGGGCTTACTAACAGAGCATAGATATGGGCACGAGTGGACTTCCTTCCTTCCTCCGAGATGGCCCAAGATGGCGAAGGCCACACCCTCTCTCTGGTTTCCCCGGTCACTATCCTTAGTCCCACCCACTCATGCAACTAAGACTGACTGGGTGAGAAGGGTGGCTGACTCACTCTGCCCCTCCCTCCTACGGAGGGTCTATAGTCAAATTGGTCTCTGGTGATTGAAGCAAGTGGATGAAGGCATCTATGCACTGCTTGCCAGTTTAGCTTGCTATGTGAAGGACAAGCTCATCCACCAACATATCATATTTCTTGTGGAAGAAACAAATGAGTGAAGAAATAATTTCGGTGCAAAGTAGTGACTTTGAAAGAAGCATTGTCGGTGTATTTATTGCCTCCCAATTCCAAATCTAACCTTGCATTACCTGCAGTGATATTCAAAACTTGTCCTTGCCAGCTCGTACCATGCTGGGCATTGTCAATAGAGGATGTTGGAAGACACTGCAGAAGTGCTGTCTCTTCCTAGTTCTAGCATGCCTTACAGTGTTCATTATCCTGTAATGCTGGACTGGCCTTCAGGACACCTAGGGCATCAGACATAATGAGTTTCAGTAGCACTGTGGTGGGGTTGTGGATGTGAGTTGAAAAAGTGCCTTGGGAGACTTTTTAGTAGTGAGTGTAAGAATCTCAAGATTGGTTTCAGGAGAGTTACTCTTATACCCTACACTGGCTCTTGGGAGAGGGGGGCATCCAGTGGCATCTCTGAATCCCCCTAGTATGAAGGCCCAGATGGATTCTCAGTCACCCCAACTAGCTTCACATCTGCAAGTTCAGTGGCCATATTACTTACTTTTTTATTGCTATGACCAAACACCTGGCACCAACCACTTAAGGGAGGAAGAATTTATTTTTGGCTCATGGTTTAAGAGGATTGAGGCCATCCTGCGGGAGATGGGGCATGGTAAAGCAGAGGACTTCATGTCACGGTAGACAAGGACGCAGAGAGAGAGGCAATACCAGCCCATGGCTTAGTTTATCCTTTCCTACTTTTAGCCTGTCTGGACTTTCAGCCCATGGATGGACTCATTCAGGGTGAGTCTACCACTCTCTCTAATCCTTCCTGGACATCAGAGACATACCCAAAGGTGGGACTCATCAGTAGCATAGGTGGTTCTAAAACCAATCAGCTGGCAATGAAGATCAGCTATCACATGACATAACCCCATTGGGTGAGATGTAGATTCTGGTGAGTTATGGGAGCAAGTTTTATGGAAGAGGGGTCAGTGAAACCTCTTGCAGAGGCGACTTTCTGGTGGCTTTCCTGGTAGGCCAATCCAGTGCACAGCTTCCCAA